TTCATTTGTAGTGAAAAAAATTGTCATAAAAGAGTGCTACTACTGATCGATTGATCCAGACAAAGACGCGAAAGAGAAAACCTGAGCTTATTTCTGCGGTGAGCTACTACAGTTCAAGGTCGAAGCACTGAATGAATGAAGCATCTCTTGCCAATAAATTACTTTTTAGCTGATAAATGTCTGCCGAATGTTCCGTAAGATACAATCGTTTGACACAGCTTTTTTTACAACGAAAGTAATATTTAAAGGAAAGGAATTCATTTTTCTTAAAAGGCACTTGCGATGTAAAGATAAAATCGATTATTAAATTAGATGACTTTAATTAATGAAAATTTCTCGATTAGATTACGATAAGAGAATAATCTCAATAGGAGCTAAATTTGCTTCATTGACTCAAATAATTACATATTTAAATGGAATTTTAGCAACAATAGATACTTGAATTTGCAATTCACATGAATAGACTATTAATTATAATTAATTAGAATAGTAATTTAACATTTCTTAATGTTGTTATTGTTGAAAAAAAATTCTAAAAATAAGTTTAGACTAATTACGATTTTTTTTGTTGTCTCAATATGTGAATCATATACTTAACCACAAAGACTTTAAATTCCTTTTTTTTAGTCCTGGTCTTCCGACCAATAGACAGAGATAAGGATATCTTCGAAAAAGAAAGTAAAAATGAAATAAATTACAATTCATTGATCTTTAGTGGATGATCTAGTCAATTCATTTAAATATTTATACACTCAGCTTTGTTTTAGCATAATTTTTATATTCAATTACTTTTTTAAAGTTAAAATAATTATTCGACAATTTTCTTGTATTAGCAGTGATAAAGTTTTGCTTGAGAAAATAATAAACTAAACGGAAGAACAAAGTTAATTTAAAAAGAGCATTTGGACATACTTTGTCTTTCAATTGAATGACTTGTTCTCAAAGATTTGGTCATGAAAAACGAACTAATAGCTGTAATTTTCTAATTTATTGAGAAATAATAATAAAAAGCAGAGGAACTTTAAAACTTTGGTCGATTACTCGCACAACCTTGTTCTGATTTTTCTTCAGATAATGCTTAAATGCGTGCTAGAAGATTTTCAAGGCTCGTAGCTTTTCTGTAGACTGAAGAAATGTTATTAAAAAATCAATAAGATATCAATTATCTACAGATATAAGTTATAACTTTTACAGAGATATATAATTGTATACTAGACATGACTCCTCCACAGAATTTTTATACTAACTTCTAATGTTTATTGCAAGCTCAATGTAATTTATATTGCACTAGAAAGAAATAAAAACTTAAAGTCATAATTTGAGTTCTTGAAATGAATAAAATGATTCATAATCTTCTTACTCGGCATTTTATTATCAAGTAGTTAATATGCTTTCATTTGACAAAGGATCAATAATCTATTTACTTGATTGAGACAATTCTTCTGATTATATATATATATATTATTTCATCCTCTAAATGTGCTTTTAATTAATAACAAAAAATCTAGAAACATTGAAGATAGTCAAGACGATAAAAAGTTTTCCATTTCTTTGAATTCAACTTCGAACTAATCGAAGATATCTGTTTTACTTTTTATTCCTCAAGTTTTTGGGTAAAAATAGATTCCATTTTTGTTTTATTCACAGAATATTGCGAAAAAGCATTTATATTATAAATATTGAAAAATTCATTATGGAGAAAAAAGAAATAAATCAAAGTATATTGATTTTTCAAAGTCAACTATTCGACCTTGACCTTGGTTCGAATTCTCCAAAGAATAGATAAATACAGATTGCAGCTTTGTCTCTATCCGGCAGCTATTAAATTTGGAAATAAAGTTTTATTTGAATTCTTTTTTTTTCTAGCAACTGTGAGTTTAATCGGCTTTCCTTTGAACATCTATACTTTGATCAAAAGTTTAATTAATCAAATATGGTGTGAACACTTTGAACAGTTTGTCACTTATTCTGAAACTTCACTATGGAGATTTTGATCTTAATTATCGAAGCGTAGAATATAATTTTAGTCAACCAACTATTTGTAATTAATTGCACCAGTAATTGTCGATTGTTGAGAATTTACTGCAGTTAGTTTTTTAATTTTTCTCTTTCTCTCATTGTTCTTGCAATTTTTCCTTTGTTTATTGTTTCTCCTTCTTTTACATTAAAAAAAAAAAAAATGAATAAATTAAAAAAAAATTATGAAATGTGACAAGAAATAAAATACGTTGTTTTATCCCAAGTTTTATTTAATCTTTTTTTTCTAGAACAAAATTATGATCATCTACTTTCATTCTCTTCAGCACTTCGCATGATATTTCCCACGAGAAACAGATTTGTTCACTCTGTGGTCAAATGGGAAAAATACGCAAGTAATGTTGTGCGATTAGAAATAGTAGAAATGAAAAAAAAAAAAAAGAATTCTCAACAAAGAAACTCGGTATTTAACGTAGTGATGTGGGTGGTAGTAACAAAATAAAGATAAGTAGATGAGACATAAAGGAAACCTTTCGACATAAAGAATAAAAAGGATGAAAAATAACATTAGATAATAGATAGATGTGCTTTTTGAAATGAGATTTTCTTTACGACTAAAATATTACACCCTAGAGGTTTATGTCAAGACTGAACTTGATAGGTGCTGTAGTAAGATTAAACATTGCATATCATTTTATATCAATTTAACATAATATTACATCAAGGTCTAACATTTCTGAGAATTTAACTTCAATTGTAATAAGAGTGTTGATTTTAGCGTGAAAATATGACGAGTATATTAATTATATTCTTTAAAAAAAAAAATATTTGCAAAAATTATTGTAGACAATATAGGTAATGATAATTTATTTAATTAATTTCCATATAATAATACACTATCTTAATAATGTTTTCCTGAATTTAATGAGCAAAAAAAAATTAATTTAATGACTGCCCGGTTTTTGAAATATTAACATTTAATAATTTCTATAGTATTCAAAAGGTTTTTTGTTCACATTGAAAAATGAATCGTTAACATTTAAAAATACTTTGGGGAGGGTTTTTTTTCAATTAGGATGTTGATAGAAGATTGTTGAAACAATAACGAATAATTCCGAGAAAAACAGCAGAACCCAAAAAAGTCAAGTTCAACAAAGGACTTCACAAACGCAAAATTTTTGAGATTTTTATTGGTAAGTAAAAAATACAAGTACCTTAAATTTACGAAGGGTAAGAGCTTGTAAGCTCCTTGAAAAGAAAATCGTCAGTATAGATCTAAAAACGTCTGTGGTTGACGTTAAAAGCCTTTACTCAGAATGGAAACCATTGCCTGACAGCGTTCGTGACGATTTTCTGTCTCTACTTTTCTGATGTCCTCGACGCCATTACTCAGTATGGCTTTGTTAGATCCCCTTTTTCCCTCCCATTCTCTCTATTAGTCTCTAGAGCTTTTATTTTTTTTTCTTTTTATCTAGAAACACATACACCTTGATCGATTATTACAAAAAATGTTTCTATGTATCACGTTTGTATATAAATATATATATATATAACATGTTTGGCAATCTGATATGATATTCCTAAGTATAATATCGGAATATTGACATTCGAACAGATGTTCTTGCTAAGAGAAACTTATAGAAGATTTATGGAAAATATAGAAATACGTTCATGTATTTGTGTTGGGTAACAAACTATTTTCAGGCTTGAGAAAACTTTGTTGCTGATTGAAAGTTGATACGACTTTACTTTGAGTGGAATTAAATCAATTGCTTGATCAATTTTTTTTGCAAGAGATTAGCAATTGTCAAAAAATGCCTAGATAATTTTAAATATAATTATCAAAAAATGGGTCTGCGCACACTTTGCGTCTAACGAAAAACTTCCCATTCATTACAGTTCGTAATTTTGTCATCTTTTAGAGTTTATTGTTTATAACAAATTTGAATTTGTATAAACAATAAATGATGATCTAGAGTCATATAAAGTCATTAACAACCATATTGAATTGATATTGACCTCAGTTTTCAACAATACTTATCACTTTCACTAATAATAATCACAAATTTTGTTCGTGAATACAAAAACAATGATGATTGATCCATTTTTCTTACTTAGACTTGAATTAAACATTGATTCAATGACTGATATGTTTAATTTACCATTGTGATATTTATATTAAATAATACAAGCATTCTTTCTCGAATTAAAACTTTATTTAATTGTATACACAGTCTACACTGAGGCTTTCTTTGCAGACAGTTTATGATTCGAATAAGAGGCTTAAGTAAGCTTTCATCCAAAAGCTCGAAATCGCTTTATTCGTTTTTAGACTTTTTGTGTTCCATTACAAAGACTAGGGATGAATGAAAAGTCATTTGTGTTTAATAAAATAGACAAGAATTTTTTATCAAAACGATTTCTCAACTACTTGATATGATAATTCAATCGAAAATGCTGATAAATATTTTTATTATTGATCAGGTGTAATACAGAATAAATTGAAGGTACAAGCGAATAAATAATAGCAGCTAAATAAATAATATTTACAATAATAATGACATCATACAGTAGTGAAAAGTAAAAAAATGATGTTGAAAAATTGTCTTAATATCTTGAGTTTATCAGAAATTTCGACATTAAGGTAATATAAAAAGGTAGTTGGCTGCTAGAGTATCATCAGAATAATTCTACTCATTTTTTCGGAGTGACATTTTTTTTATGTAAAATGCCTCCGCAGTGGTTATTTTTTTTGATCATAGGCACGACATTTATTCAGGTAATGTAGATTTTTTTCTAAAAAGTTTTATGATAGTCATAACTTTTAGTATTCATTTTAGTTTTTCTTTTTAATTATGGAAATAAACTGAACTGATAAAAATTAAAATGAGTGGAAGTGTGTTTGATTCTGTTCACGATTTTTATAAAAAAATAAACACCAATACTTTTTTAATTTTTAAATTTTATATTTCATTTAAATAAATTTTGATAATTTGATCAAATGCTAAATTGATATGTTACAGGTGCATTCTTTTTTCTCTTGGAGTGATTTGTGTGATTATTATTCCGATGAGGTTGGTATAAGACTGATAATAATAATAATTCTTTCATAAAGCAAAGCAACAAGTTTAATAACTCTATTTACAATTATTTAATTTAACTGTTGCTTAGAAATAAAAGAGTGAGTTTTATTTAAATTGAGTAAGACTACGAATTTGTAAAAATACTTTTGGATGTTTTTAGGATGAAGATTCTAAACCTGAAGTGAAAACAAAAGCAACGGCAGATTCTGATAGATTGGAAGCAATGGAGAAAGAACTACGTCGAGTTAATTCACAAATAGAAATGTTGTTGATGAAATTATTGAACGATAAAACTGTAATTTCTGGAGGAGGAAGTGGAACAAATGATGTAACGAGAACTATAATAACTCGTACACCAGTAATCAATGGTGGAACGAGTGATGTATCTGGAGGAAATAATGTTAGAACAAATGAACGAACTATTATTACCAGAACAAATAATGGAGTAACTACTACTGGTACAGGTGGAGGAACAGGTGGAGGATCAGGTGGAGGAATAGGAATAACTGGTCTGATACCAGGAATAAGTGGTGGAGGAAATGGAATTAGTGGAACTATTGGAGGTCTCGTACCAGGAATCAGTGGTGGAGGAAATGGAATTAGTGGAACTATTGGAGGTCTTATACCAGGTGCTGGTGGAATAGGAGGAAAGATAGGAGGAGGACTCATACCAGGAATCAGTGGTGGAGGAAGTGGAATTAGTGGAACTATTGGAGGTCTTATACCAGGTGCTGGTGGAATAGGAGGAAACATTGGAGGTCTTATACCAGGAGGAAAAATAAGTGGCGGAGCTACTATTAGCGGAGGTGGTGGAGGAGGAGCTGGTGGAACCGGAGGTGGTATTTCTGGAGCAATCGGTGGTGGCGGAGGAGCTGGTGGAACCGGAGGAGGTATTTCTGGAACGATAGGTGGTGGATCAGGAGGTGGAGGAGCAATCGGTGGAACTGGAGGTGGCATTTCTGGAACGATAGGGGGTGGATCAGGAGGTGGAGGAGCAATCGGTGGAACTGGAGGTGGCATTTCTGGAACCATAGGTGGTGGATCAGGCGGAATGTCCGGAGGTGGTATTTCTGGAACTTTAAGTGCTGGATCAAATGGATTTTCTGGAGGAGCAAGTAACAAAATAGGTGGTGGTGGTGGAATCGGAGGTGGAATAATGAGTGGTAGTGGTTTATCTGGAGTAAGCAGTGGATTAGGATCAGGAGGTAGTTTTAGTGCTGGCTTTAGTACATCAGGCTAGAAATACGATCATGTATAAATCAATCTAATATAATGTCCATGTATAATATTTGATTAATTTAAAACTAAATACGTAGAATTAATAAATTGTATTAATTGCAATGTTATTCAATAGCAATTTTGCTAAGTACTCATTCAATTCATCACCTACATCCTTCGTAGCATTTACGTAATAATTTACTTATATTTCAAATTGTTAACATCAATTAGATATAATTATTTTAAAATAGTAAGTAAATGTTTTTAACCAAACTGATATTCTACACAAAATTGAATTCCTCCTACGTACAGTTTATATTTGATTTACCTCAATTGAATCTTAATGATGCCATGTTTATTAATCCAAAAGGGAAATTTGATAAATTTTTTCTCATTATAATCTTCTGATAAATATTATTTGAATTAAACCATCTAATTAATGTAGGAATATTCATGAATAAGTTAGAGACTTACGAATATATATATATAAGAAATAAATAAAGCTGCTTGAGAAGTTCAAGGTAGTGTCAAGGACGAACAGCTGGCCGAATAGCTACTGAAGTCTGAGTTGACAGGGCCAGGTCTTCGTTCATCATTTGCTCTTGAAACTTCACAACTAACTTATTCCCTCAACTAGATATATTTTCTAAGCGAGTCGAATTACGTTTAAAAGTGGTTCTTAGACGTAGTCAAATTCAATTTCTCATAAAAGTTTCACCCATTCCTATCGTCAGTTACATCACTACTTGGAAAGAAAAAATATTTTTTTACTCGAAAACTTAATGAAAAAGAAACGAAAATGAGATGAAAAAGCGATAAACTGAGGTAAAAAGAGGATAATAAAAAAATTTAATTGAATGTTAAAAAGTAGTTAAATAGAAGAAAAACTTGATTTTATGGAGACATCAAAAGTTTTTCAACCGCATATTGTAGAGTTGACAATAAAATACATCAAAGCGAAACTGTATCCATCACAGCGTAGAAAATTATTAGAGCACGAATTTGATTAATCTACAAAGTACAGATGTGTTGATAAGAATTTGATAAATATTTACTATTTCCTTTATTTCCGATAAAATATTTATCCTCAAAACTAATCACAATACAGAGATTTTGCAAAGAAGATAGAAATTTATCTTTAATCATGTTGAATACAATTCTCTAGTAGACATATTTTATATTTGTAATATTGCTTTTTAATATTTACAATATTCATTTTAATTCATCAAGTTAGCTTATTAGAAATATCAATATTCAATACAAATAATTAGTTAAATTGATTGAATTATTTCTAGAAACAATACAAATTTCAATCTAATTAATTTTCATTGGAAATATCAATAATAGACTAATATAGTTTTAATTGTTACAATAATATTTGCTTTGTATTTCATAAAAACTATTTATACATATTTTATATATAATCATTCCAACTAAACTTGGAATGATTAAATATGTGATAATTTTTTTTGTTACAACCTGGAGCTTACTAATAGTGATAAGTTTATATAGCAATGGACAGAAAGCTATTATTTTATAAGAAGATTTGATGAAACTTTTTGTTTGAAATCAAATAGAGCTTCAGTAGTAACATATGATTGAAATGTGGTGGTATACAATTTATTTAATCCATATAAGTTTATTATTTTGATTGGTTTCTGAACTTGTCTGTCGAACTACAAATTTATCATTCAAAGTGAATGAAATGTTATAAGCATGCTAACCTACAGAGCTTATATAACTATGGTTTAACGCCCACAGCTTTCACTGTAACAACCAGAATTGAAGAGATCAAATCTAACAACTGTTTCCTATATTTTCAGTTGAACTTTCCAAGGCTACCTGGAATAGTTATCATTTTATTGGTTTCAATATTCACTATCAAAGTCTATACCTATATTGCCAAAGTTGATTTCAGAATCATCTCTATCAATAATTCCTGCTATCAATTAATATAAAAAATTAAACATACTTGAGATAGAAGTAATAACATAATGAAATATAAATGAGAAAAAACCTGTAAGTAATGATGCTTCATACTATAGAGGATGACAATAAAGGCAAAAAAAATATTACTGTACTTTGAAGACGTTATGAGGGTCATAGAAAAGATAATTCTCCATCTTCTATATATGTCACAGCTCTTAGTGGTATACTCAGACTTACAAGAGCTCTTCTTACTCATTTTCGTTGTCCTTCGCCTTGAAAAACCTTTGTATGACACGTATTCAAGTACCATTTAACGACTTTAGGTGAGATATACTAAGTTTTCTGACCAGATGATTTTATCAAATTAATTCAAAATTTCCTTTATGCTCAATGATTTTGATGTTACTTTTTCTAAGTCAATTAATTTTTAATTCATTAAAATATCAATGAAATGCTAGAATTAACCTATGAATAATACTTTGAAATTTCGTAGCAAAAACTTATCCAGTTTCCAGATTACTTTAAGTATAATAAATAAAAGATGTACAGTTGATCTCTGCTGTGAATTTAAATTGAAACAAAAATTTAATATAGGTTGTTTGCAGAAATTATTAATTAATGTTCTCAAAGAGACTAAAAGACATCAATTTATTTAGATATTTTATGCTCAAACAGCTTGTTTTAGCATTGACATGCGTCAGCGTGTAGGAGGTTGAATCAGTAACTTTGATGAATTGGTTCTACGATGGAAAGCTCCAATTTCATGTCATCATAGAAAAAGTCTTCCCCAATAGTTTTATTACATTTAAAAATATGAAATATAAAAATGAAACCAGTAAACTGACCTGTCAACATTCAACTCAAGCAAGGCAAGTAGCGTTATTTAAAAGTCAGAAGCTAAATGTAATGTTAGTCACAAATGTCTCTAAACTTGACAGTTTAGCTGCAACATAGACATCACCAGTCCTCAGTCCTTTGTTTACTACATCACAAACCTCACACAAACTGCAGATATTCCTACATGTATAGGCATTAATTTCATGGACCAATGGATAAACATGGAAGGAAATCAATAGCCGCCACCAAAGTTTATCCGAGCATCAATTACGAGCAAAGAGGCTAGGAGAATTTGAGTTTCATAACATCATTTAACAAGGATATAATACTCATTAGTTTGAAGGATATTATTTCACCATCATATTTATACAGACTTATAAATCCCTGTCTATTTTTCAGTGGACTTAAATTATTCACTTGTCAGATGCAACATGAATAAATCATCTGAGACTCGTTATAGGCGTGTTATAAACATTAATTGTAGCAAAATTACTCTTCCATTTCAATGCTGACGTCAAATGATAAACTAATTGTTATCATTAGCAACTGAATATCTTCCATTGTATCAGATATTCTAGCTACTTTAATAAAACCATCCTTAAGTCTTTTAATTATTCTCATTTTCGTGATGTTGAAATGTATTCTTTCATCATCATTTCTTTCTTTAATAAATTGGGCTAAAGAATTGACCTAGTATTTGATCTGGTAGATGTATGCAAATATGTACGAAAAATGGTCAACTTCTCCTCCTAGCAAATTATATGTATTCTTTCTTTATTTTACTGAGCTATTATCAATCTCATATGATAATTGAATTTGAAATGCATTTTTGGATGAATAATTCAATTTAAACTACTGTGTGGGTTTTTTGTTAACAATCATTATTGATGTTATATTAAATTAAAAATTATATTTATATTTAAAACTAATATTTACTAATATCAACGCTATATTGATTCATTTACAGCTGAATATAACTATTGTAGTTAATCTCATAAAAGCCTTATCAGTTTTTTATTCTAGTTTCATACAGACTCTAAAAATATTGGAAAATAAAATATAAATATTTGAAGGATTTCTGTGTGAATAGAATCGTTGAATAGAACCTTGTTAAAATTCGAAGGTTGTTGTCAACTGCATTCAGAGAACTGATGTAACATTGTAACAATGACTCTTTAAGTAATACATTTTTGTAACTATAAATTATTTTGAATTTCAATAACACCTAGTAAGTTTGCTTATCAACCACCTGTGTTGAAAACCCTAACTTTAATGATGTAGGTATATAGCACCAGGAAACGAGATAAATCTATTAAATATTATATTACTTCATGATATGATTAAAATACTAAGTGTCTATATTGAAGCATGTCAAACGATTGATCCATTTTAAAGACCCTAAATTAATCGAACGTGATACCTGCTATAGCTAGATTTCATTCGGATAAAATAACTTGGTTTCACAATTGACGTCAGAGAGCAACATATGATAATTATGATGATAGGTAACACAATATGTTCGATGATGAGATAGTTTATTTTGGGATTGAACTTGAATCTTCGAATGGCCTTGACATATCTCGTTGAATTTCCTGAGGGTGTTTAGTGAAATTACGGGAATTTGTTAGCGGATTAACCTTGACATTCATCATCACCTTGTCTTTATTTTCATAATTTTCATTTCTATTTAAATATGTACATCATTCTATGAAGCTACCAACATTCATTTACACATCGTTGGTATTTGTTGGAGATTATATAAATCTCTCACTTAATCTCTTTGTTCTTGTGATTTTCATTGACTAAGAACATAAGCTACTAAAGCCAAATGTCAAAATTATCTCACACTTTAAATGTTGAGGTAATTATTAATGATCAAATGTACCAGAGATGTTGGATTTATAAAATTATGTTAAGTCTCTTTAAAACCTTAGAGTACTTGAAGTGTTGGAGAAAGGTAAATTTAAAAAAATATGATTATTTATACTATAATTAAAAATAATAATAAAAACATGAGAAAAAGCTGGTCTTAGTGTCGACGACAAATTGGTGGTACGAGTGCTGTAACCAAAGTTTAACCACACAGGCTTGTTCGAATGGGAATGAGGAACATGTAGGTTAAGGGAAAGAGGAAAATAGATGCTTGAAGAGGGTGTAGAGAGGCAAAGAGAGCTTGTGCAGCTGCAATCAAGACACGTGGGCGAATACCGCGCAAACTGCCCCGGGCATTCGAGACCTGAGGGTTTGGCCTCCTACTTTACCACCCTCCACTGCAGCTTTCTAAATCCTTGATCACACGTCTAATCATTCTCCCTTCAATAGGCTTCATTTTTTCGCCTAAACAGCGAATTTAAAATTGCCTATGTCACCTTTATTTGCATTTAGATTACTTTTTAACACAATTATGATAAATGTTGCTGGTCTAGAAACTTGTGAAATTTGAAATTCGATATGTTATCATTGTTTAAGTTTGGAAATTAACGTTTGACAGTACAATACATATTTTAGAGTTTATAATAAAAAGAATGCTATAATTATTGGATTGATTGATTTTTTTTTTGAGTACTTTTCAATTATGAAGTTTCAATGGTGTGGAAATTATTCAATTCAATTACCAAAAATATATTCAAGATCTAATCAAATTAAATCAGCTTACATAAGTCTAAATTAGAGAAGATTATAGAATGTGGATTTAAATGAATTTATCTTCATTGAAAAATAATTTATATGTTAAATTTCATGAAATCTCATTTTATCTGATTACATTCCATGTTCCATAAAATTGATTAGATCAAATCAAATAAAATTAGACTGAAAGATTGCTTTTCAGTAGATATTTACAGAAAAAAGAATATTTCAAAGTAAACTGGTCTGTATTTCTTCTAATTTCATTAAAAAAGGAATGAATCAATAACCTTTTGAATTAAAATTAATTTCATATTCTTTAATGGTATTTTATTTATTCATTTTCATGATCAATTAGACTTTTGTACACTCGTGTACAAAAAAATATAGAAGCAAGATGTGATTGGGAACAGCTTGATTTCTGTCTTCTGAATGGTGCAACCATGCACCAGTAGCTAAGTAAACTCACTCAAAACTGTATGTACTTAATCTGCTAAGCTTCAAGCAAACTTTCTCAAGCATAAAAACACGACACATTCAGGTTGACAGGTGATAAAATATTTATTGAAATGGATAACTTGTTTATAAGAATTCAGTCTTACAGACCATTTTCTAATGAAGAAAAAAACTTTTATTTTTTATTACCAAAAAATGTCTAGATTTTTTGTTAAATGAGAAATAAAATTTTTTTGACTGATTGAATAAATGATTCAACCTCTAGAATTTTTATTCGAATCATTAGGAAGGGAGTGAGATTAAATGATTCCCCTGACCTACTTGGTGTGTTTAATTATGCAAATAAATGGTTGGTTTTGAAGAAAAATGCAAAATTTCTTAAGTAAATAATATTTTAACATAACTGACAGATCGAAGAAAATACATCAAAAAGATAGGTTTTAGAAATTCTCTTACAGTATTTTCTTCACGTTCCAGTGAAAATATTGTACTTGAAGCCAGAACAAAATGCTCTACATATATTAAATAAGTAAAAGATTCTTCACCGCCAGATTTATATTTCCGACAAAGTGAGCTTTTTATTTTTTTTATGAAGACATAAAAAATACACATTTCTTGTATTAAAAATTATTAAAAATGTTTTATTCAGGTCAATAAAAATTTTAACGGATAAAAAGTAATGTCCACATTTTTTAATGAACATTAAAAACTTCACTTCGAATCAGTAATATTTCAAGTTAAATTGAAAATAGATAATTATCAAAGCTATTAAATATTTCACTAAATTGCAATGTTTTTTTTTTTAGAAAAGAAAGTTAGAAGAGGTATAAAAAAGGTCATTAGTTATGCACCAATAATTTCTTAGAAGTTCAACAAATTTGTTAATATATCCAACTAAATTACGAAACATCCCACGTACACATCTATAAAAACGTTAAATTCCCTGAAAATTAATTCAGGCTGTGTAAAAAAGACTTTATGAGAATTTAAATTGCAACAAAAAGTGTTACTCAATAAATAGAAAAAAAAAACTCTCAAAGGTCGCGATTTTTTTTTTTAAAAACAAACGATTTTGTATAACACACATAAAAGAGAATCGATTCAATGCCTATGAATAATCTGTTATATTTAATATCACCGACCTTTGATGATTTTAATTAATAAAAAGAGAGTGTACAGATAGAGATTTGATATAAAAATAAAATATTGAAATTCGATTGAATTGATTGCAGCGACTAATTAATATTTATAATTATTTCATTGCATTCCGCATGGTTTTTTTAAATTTAAATATTCGAATAAAATTAATTATTTATTAAATAATGAAAATACCTATTTTTAAATCTATATTAAAATGGCAAATATTAATTAAAATCATTTCCAATCATTGAAAGCTCTACTTGTGTTTCGTAACGACATCTACCTAGGTTTTTTTGAAGCTTAAATTTAACAGTGGAATATTCAACTTCCTGCTATGCTAGAAATCGGTAAAAAAAATAATATTCGATTTTATTTATGATGGTTTCATAAATTTTAATTTTTCTTTGTCGACAAAGATTGATTTTCCATTGTTATTCATTCAAATGGAGAATTGTGAAAAAATATGAAAGCTCTTTTCATATCATGATAACTTTATCTATGCTAGAAGGCAGCACCCTAAACCATGATATGAATATAAACATTTGTCTAGATGGTAGATGGCACTACATGTTTGAGCTTGGAGTAAAAAATCCCGGGAAAGCTCAGGTCGACGATCGATCATGAATGTGCACGTTTCCAAAATCGTAAGGAACTTTATCATATCTTAAAACCACAATTATTCAAGAGTTTATTGAGAATTTTGTAACTCACCAACGAAGAATTTCTTAACATAATAGAGTAGATGGTGCTTTATATACATACCTGAAACGAAAAAGAAAAAAATTATTACATTGATGAATAAGTCATTCTAAAGAGGCTTTCATTAAGTGGAATTCAAATTGCTTTGATGTTTAAAGGTTTAAAGGTCAAGAAATAATTCAAAGAAAATCTTTTTTTCCAATAACAAGCAAATATTTTAGTAAAACTCATCTTCTAAGTAATTTATATATTAAACTTTTAATTTTCTTATCAATAATTATTTATTTATTTCTATTTACAGTTACTTTCTAACAGTTAAGTCTTCAAGCCGATTAAAAAGTTATCGATTCATTGCGTTATTTACGATTCAAATAAAATTCCTTGTTGGCTCAAAGAAGAATCATAAATATTCTCTCTTCGATTTTATATTGTCGTGAAAAAGTTAAAGACATTTACATTTCTTTTATTCTTCCCAGTCTGATTGCTAAGGAATCTTATATTGTTTCCTATCTCAAAGAGAGAAAAAAACCTAACGATGATTCAATGGCTTTCATTCTAATTTCATTCATTAAATTTTTTTTTTTTTTTTGATTCAAAAGAAAAAATTGATTATTTTTATCCTAAGCTTGCTTACGTTGTGCTAAGTGTCGATGTGATAATTAAAACTTGTCAGAACTAGAATCCAAAAAAACATCTGGAGTATACGGTTGTAGTTGATAAAATAAAAACAAGTGAAGTAAATGGTTATGGCAAAAACTTTTTGTGAACTTAATATAAATAAAAAGAAAGTTTAATTATTTAATGTTGTCAGTATTAGTGAAATACATGTGAATGATACCAAAAGCACAGTTTTACATTTAAAAACAAAAAAAACACAAAAGTTGTAATAATAAACTACTAAAGTTATGACTCAAACAAACCTTGATAAAGGTTGCCCAGTGTAGTACCTTTGAAACACGTGCAGCCCATAATAAATCCCATCATCACTTTCTTTAAACTCGTTTCACCTTCAATATACGGATGTACATAGATTGCTTAATTATTATTCATCACCGAATTTTTTGTTTTCATCACCACCTTCACAAACTATTTTCTATCATATTGACTATTCAAAGTCCCATGATACACTAGAGAATGTAGTTCTTTAACCTAAGTGTCACTTGAATGACTAACGGTCATCGATTTTTAGTATCAATACTTTGAACGCGTTGAGGAAGTTGATCAAGTCACTACCGGAAGTCTAAAACTTTGTCATCTTTTCAACTCGTGATGTAGAATTGTAAAACAAGAGTTTTTTATAAAATTTTTCTCTCTAGAAATGATAAGAACTATTGGAAAAAATAATATTTATTGGCAGTTGCGGCTTATTGTATTATAGTGACGTATGGATAAAATTTATTTACAGGTGATTTAATATTGTGTCAACATCAAATGTTTTGAAGAAAAAACATTGCTTTATTTCAGTAGTTTCTTTTTCTCCAAGTTCAAACGACTTTATTTAATTAAAAATTATCTACTCTCTTTGTTTTTATAATTTTTCCAAGATAATAGAAATAAATATTAGATTAACTACTGGCAATCTTTTTATGTCTAGTTTATTATGATATATTTATTTTTCCAATCGACTTGGGAAAGAAATTATTAACAGAGAAAGTATATTGCTTCAAGCCTTTTTAGATTACTGTGAAGTCATATTGAAAAAAAAAAAATTCTCACAGTATGATTAATTATTAAACAAAAAAATGTAATCTTTTTTTTTTACTCTGAAGCTTAACAAGATAATGAAATGAATAACGGGATATAATAAATCATTCCTGAGTGCTAATGATAACGGGACGGACAAATAACGTGTCTGCAGTACGACTGTAGGTTTTACAATAGACAGTTGAGATAATTCTTTGTTTGTCAATTGTACCAGCGATTATGTAAGAATAAAAATCAATGAATGTGGGAGTATGTCACCTTCAATATTCATCATATTTTATGTCATTAAGATGACTTTTTTTCTGTTGATTGAATTGATGTTATCCCGATGACTTTATGTGAGAAAGTATTTTCATTCTTGACGATTGTGGTCTTTATAGCCTCAGTTTATGGATACCAGATAGATAAAATGTCTTTGTAGTTGATAAATATTTTACTCCACTCTTCCTTTCAGCTATTAAGGACATACAGACAACCCACTGCAACATACCCTTCTCTCTGTTATTTTACTAGAGACAGCTCCATAGCAGCAAACGAATGCTCTGGTAAATAGATACTGATAACTCGAGCTTCGTTTCCATTTACTCCATTCGCGCTCTCAATTGTCTCGAACATCTGTATTATCAAAGCACTATCTCAAATAAATTACCATTTATTTCCAGTTCATTAAGTTTTTAAGAATGCGAGTATTGCATGTTGTTCTAATTATGAATAATATACCTCACAAGTAATAGAAAAATATTGAGTGTAATCAATATTTATCATAAATGAGTCATATTTTTTTAATAAAATTACAATTTTGATTTTTTTGCAATTGACATGGTAACATTCTTTTATTATTTTTTAAAATCTATCAAACAACTTTCTTATATTTTATTGAATTGATCATTTTTTTTAAGAACTACGATTATCCAGATACAATATTTTATTGAAATTTTTTTTATTGATTAAATGATCATTTCTAAGAAAAACTATTCCTATGCATTTATTTACTTTTTATTGAATTTTGAAAACCAATTACTGGATAAGTTTATCGCAGTTATTTATAAGATTTCTTCAGTATTCATTGTTCAAACTCTGTTCTGGATTAATTAGTTTGTAACAATGTTTCAAAGGAGCTCTTCTATTCTATTATATATTCAATACATTTTGCAGGTAGGAAACTTTTTTTTAAAACTTATTCAAGCATAAAATTTAATTAACTATAATTTCAATGTTACATAAGTTTAGTGATTATTAATAAATATTTCAATAATAAAGTTTCATTATTTTATTCACAAGATAATTACTCAAAACTATATAAAAAATACTCTAAGTAGATAAGTAACTTGTAGGGAATAAAATTTTGCTTTTTAAGAATGACTTTGACCTCAAATTGTACTAACTTTTACCACACGTCTGGCTTGTTTTAGTTCACTCACAATATAGGGGTGATTTTAACACAAAAATTCTATCAATATAACTAATTGCAATCAACGAAAAAACTTTTAAAAGACTCACTTATTTAATCAAGGTTTTCATCAGTAAATATTTAAACATTGTAAATAAAATCATTAAATAATTATAAATTTATTTGTTATTATTAATACCAACACTTGTTTTCATTCGACTAGAGAGACAACTTTGAAAAAAAAGGCAATTATTCATCTATTTTTATATCCCTATTTCAGTGTCATACTTTATACGTCAAAGCATTAAACTAATCCTTTACATAAACAAAATTAGCAGATTATACTGATTTGTGATTATTATACCACACAATGCTGATAACTATCATTGCACATCTTGTTCGAAAATAATAGCATACGATAACATTGACTGTTTGAATGATTCTACAATTCTAGAGCATGGATTACACTGAACTTGAAAGAAAAATGTCCATATGACGCCTCTATCTGACTTCAACATGCTATATGCTTTATGCTTCTGCTCATGTGTTGAGTTGTGGCTGAGTTGCATGGATTTTACGACGAGAAATATCTTTGTCAGTAAAAAGCTGGAATTTTCCACTGTGAGCCAATCGAAAGAGACATTTGAAATTTTGGTTTCTACATGAAAAGAGTTGTTGGGATCAATTGGGAAGAATGCAGAGCCAAGTGGATATTTTGTGGAATTTAAAATGTCTTAAATTTAATTAAAAAAATTCCAACTGCTTTGGCAACTATTATAATAGCATATTTTATATGATGCTTTTGTGGCATGACTTGACAATTTATATCATCTCCACAATGAATGCTTTAATAATGAACTTTTAAAAGAGATTGTTTTTGTTTTAAAATGTTGATTCGATGTATTTTATAACCATTACTTTATTCGTTTGACGTAAATTAAATTTGCTAGCGAATTAACAGTGATGTTCAAGTATTGCAATGTAAGAGAAAGCAAAAGCGTTGAAATTGATGTTGATGCAGACCTCTAGGATATTTTCATCATCTTACTTTCCAGCTCTTCAACTTCCGGCTTTAACTCTCTTCCATGTTTTAGTCTCGTACTTCACGAGGATCGATCACGAGATTCAACCCAATTATCTTTGCTCTCTCGTTCAGAAGGGTAAAGCTTTTACTACTTGTCTTTCTCAGTCGTTCACTTTTGTCTCTATTCCCACTTTTCTACGTCTACTTCTATTAGAGCTTTTTTCTTCCTCCACTTTGTCATCATGTTCTTCTATTTCGTCTTTTTCCTATGCTTCTTTCCTTTTCTACCTTTTGGATTTATTTTTTATTTTTAAATATCATTAAATTAAATTTTTCCATTCATCATTTAGATGATGATGATGACGATTAAAATTAGTCAGATGTTGGTGCTTTGCCTCTTTTATATTTTGATGGAGACCAGGACTGATAAATCTCCAGTTGGAAAATGATAAAGATCTGGTTGGAAAATATTTTAATAGTGATAGCCTCCAGGAAGCAATCATCTTTAAGAAAGATGTATAAATTATTCCCTTGATTTATGATATTCGAAGCTATGTAAAATAATTTTTTACCTGTTACTTATTATTACTGGTGTTTACTTTTTACGAGGTTGAAAAAGTGTTAACCATAATTCTTAGAGCATAACTAAAAAAGTTGAATCATATTTTATAGTTATCTTTATCATGCTTTTATTCATTTAAAAGTTTTATGATAGTAAAATGTTGATGCTTTGTTTTCACTATAAATTGTAATGCTTCCCTGAATCTTTTTCACGATTTAGACCTATGGTGGAGAGCATTATACTCATTCCTCAACAAAGTACCTCAGTAGTTTCTAGCTCCCTTGACTTTAATGCGTCATTTTCAAGAGTTTCTGTTGCAGTTCTTGGCCTCGCAGACAGTCTCAAGTCTTCTTCGCTTCCAACATCAGCTGTTCTTCATCACA